ACCTCATGTCAAGTCATATGATGGCCAAGGTGAATGATGATTTCCTGGCCTGGTGCAACGAGAAGTATGGTACCTACGGTGCTGTCAAAGCAACCAGAGGACCCAAGCACGACTATCTAGGGATGACGATTGATTTTTCGGAGCCTGGCAAAGTCAAGATTGATATGATTGACTATTTGACCAAGGTGCTCGAAGAGTTCCCTGTAAACTTTGATCATGTTCGTACTGTTCCGAGTGCAGCCCCAGCTGATTTGTTTTCTGTGGGTGACGGTGACAATCTGGACCCTGACACGAAGGATACCTTCCACACGAACACAGCCAAGCTACTCTTTGCCTGTAAACGTGCTCGTCCAGACATGCAGACATTGACTACCGTCCTTTGTACTGCCAGTGAAACAGCCGAACCAGTAACGATTGGGAAAACTTCTCCAAGGTCCTCAAGTTTGTTCAACCAGACTTTGAATGACAAGCTCATCCTCCATGCTGACGACGTTAGCATTATTCGTGGTGGGTTGACGCGAGTTTTTGCTGGTTCATCCCGACTACGATCCCATACTGGAGGAGTGCCTCATTTCGGCCTCGGTGCCCCAACTTGCTGTGCTCTAGCAGCAAAGAAGCTCACGCCGCAGCAATACCGACGCCGAACTCATTTGAGACCGAACGATGTTATGAGCCATTTGTCTGTGGACCAAGTTTTATTTTCTGGAAGGGCTTCCGAAAGGCTGTTTGATGGTCCAGGAGAATCAATCCTTCTACAAGACAACGAAGAGTGCTATCATTCTCGCTGAGAAATGGTAAGAGCAGCGCCGGTAAGCGTACTCGTGCTCTTAATGTGCGTTTCTTCTTTATTCACGACCAAGTGAAGCAGGGAAATGTACGAGTGGTGTATTGTCCCACACAGGACATGCACGGGGACTTTCTCACGAAGCCCCTCCAAGGTGCCCTATTCCATGCGCATCGCGCTTTTATTATGGGGCATCCTCCTATTTAGTTTAGTTTTAATCGTTCCGTGAATCCATTAGGGACCACGGCAGGAGTGTGTTGGCCGGTCTAGATATTTAGCGGACCCGGATAAGAAAAAGACCGCACCACCGTAGGAATTTAAGGAAACTGGCATTCTCAGATCCAGACTTCAAAGCGACCAGCCAGAAAGATCACTTTTTCTTCTCAGCTCGCCCAAATCAACAAATTAACCTTGATATTACTAGTAGCTGCAGTGTTATTAGATCCAACAGAGACGATGCCTCCCAGAGGAAATCCAATGGCAGCAATCCATAGAAAGTTGGGCTCAATACCAAAGATGACTTCTGTGGTTAGTGAGGTTGTCCCCAACAGTATGGCCGAGAATGCCACAAGAATCGAGAGTAGCACAAAGTACTGCCGAACAGAAGTACCAAAAAACTGCTGCAGTGCACCCCAAATGGATTCCTGAATTGGTGTTTGCTTTTCAATATCATCTTCTAAGTCTTCATCTTTTGTAGCAGAGCCACTGGCTACCAGAATCGCTGCTGATGAGGACATGACCGGGAAACTAACAAGATGAAAGATTACCGCAAGAATCCCAAGGACAACTGTAGACTGTTGGACTATCGACATGTTCATTGAATTCTCATCTGGCAATGTGTCCATAATGGCAAGACTAATGCTTGGCAAGAGGAAGCCCAAGCATTCATATCCTTGTCTCATCTGAGAAGCTGCTCCCAGCTGAGACTTGGGGAATGCCAAGTTCGTGAGAGTTTGGTAGTAAATAAACCAAGCAGCTGTTCCAAAGCCACAAAATAATGATGGAATGATCATAGTATGAAAGGATTCTGCAAGGAACATGCCAAGCAACCCCCCAGTCATGGATCCTGCTGAGAGTACCGGAACTATGAACGCTCCATTTTGGGTGGAAGCACCAGCAAAGATGGCCTTGGGAAATTGGAAGAGGGCGACTCCTGTCAGGATATTGGCCAGACTGTAGATAAGATAGACAAGTCCTGCCTGGCTGACAGCTAATTCCAACTCGCTGGTCCGTTCAACTAGAAAGAGCTCTATTGACAATCGCACAATGCGGTATCCTGTAACTCCAGAGGAGAAACGAATAATGTCCTTGGTGGAAAACTGTTCAGGCATGATGGACGTAACCATTGTTTTGCTCTTGATGATGTACCGTTTCCTTTATGATGTCTGAGATACGGTTGATAAAGTTAATGGTTGGGCGTTTCTGCTTTCGTGTGACCTTTGTGGCGTCTTCTCAAAAGCTTGTGGTAGCGGAATGCAACGGCGTGGTGCTTTTTGCTTGTTTCTTTGTGGCCATGAAACTCGGATCTGATGGGAGGCCTCATTTTTGCATTTGTCCCCATTTTTGCCTGGACGTGGGCACGCATGTGGGCAAACAAACCTTTCGAAGATCCAAATTGTTTGTGGTCTTGGGTCGTCAAACACAAGGGAACCGCGACAGAATTCTGGTACCGGGCGCATGTTGATACCTTTGGCTCAGACTGTTTCAATTAAGATGCACCTTTAACGGATCTTGACCATTGCGAAACGATTTAACCCCTGGCCATCGACAATAAAACTCGTGGAGACGTTTAGAGTTAACAATCGCAAAGCAACAGTTCCATATTCACGTTCGTCAGACACAGATGAAGGGAGTATTTAAAAGGTTTCACTGCTTTCAGGGAGCTCACTTCTTACACGCTGTTGAAACATAGGTCATCTTCTATTTATTTCCGAGTAGTCTACCATGGCCAGTGGTAATCTTCTTCGGAAGCACTCCAATACCGGTAACATGAGACTATGAGACTCTCTTCCCTGAGTATACGAGAGTACTAGTCATACACCTATGGCTATAGATTTATTTATATTGTAACTTGAAAACCTATATAAAGCAAGCCACTCCAATTTTTTGGTACGAAGGTTATGTACTGTGAGGCTGCGTAGAAAGCATCAATGGTAAACCATGCTCCATCCAATCTCGCACTTTCAAGAGCCCAACAAGATAAACTGGGGACCCCCAAATCAACCACACCCAACCCTTCATCTGTAAAAGCACCGATGCTGAGAATGATGAAACAATGGGCAATGATGGATACCGGGATAATAAGAAAAGAGAACAGCACAGCCTACTTCAATATTCAGGAGAAGCACTCCTCTTAATCTTCTTGGCAACAGGACTTGTGACCAACTGCTGCACAGCAACCCGACTATCAAAAGAAGAATCGCAGTCGAAGTCATCTTCTACCTGAGAGAGAAAATCGTACTGGCCACTGCGCTTCACAGCAGCTTTCTTCGCAGCAGGTTTCTTGGCAGGAGAGGGGCTGTCGATGTCATCCTCCGAATTGAAATCTTCCTCGCTGTCCTCGGCAGAAGTGAAATCGGTTTCCTTGTTGAGGTTACGCTGCTGGAGTTCTTCCATGGCTGCCGCAGGAGTGTGTTCTTCTTCCTCATCAGTACTGTAAGGCAAACCCAAAGGGTTTTCGATGTCAGTCACAATGTTGAAAGTTGCCAAGTGCTTGTCAAAAACAACGCGATAGGTGTCTTCATCATAGTTGAATGCCTTGCACACCTCAGAGAACATCTCAGGATCTCTACTGGGATGGGGCATAGCCAGCTTCAGGATCTTGAAATTCATCAAGTCTTCGTGGTCAGGATAAGCCTCTTCATCAGGGTTCAAGAAGAGGCGATGGCCATTCCATCCATATTTGATGAGCATCGTGCCAAGAAGATCTTGCCAAGTAATCTCTGAAAGATTACCAATGCCTTCAGCCCTGCGAAGGAAGTCCACAATCTTCTTCTTGCGGTTCGCATGCTCCAGGAGACAACACCCAATTGACTTCAACTCCTTCAGCTTGAAGTTGATCCAGAGCTCCTCAGCTTGGAATTGGATTGGATCGGCACATCTAAGAAGCGCAATTGTAGGTAATTCTGAAAACGAGACCTCAGGTCTCGTTTGGGAAGCACATCCCAACCTCTCCTTCCGAACCAAGTCCAAGGTTCCAATTAGGCAACCGGTGCTCCAGGTTGGGAAGTGACGTACTTTACAATCTACTACTGGCAGGGGAAACAACTTCAGTACGTGGTATGTTACCCTTTGTGCCCATTGGTGTATCCAACCGTTAAGCTTTGTCTACTAAAAAGAATCGCATCGCCATCCGTTTTTGGCTGGTAGAACATGAAGAATGCATTCCCAACAACAATAGATCCTGCACAGAGGGGCTATTAATCGCAGAGGCGTTAACTACCAAAATGGGACCTGCAGGTGGCAAGTTTCAACTAAAACCAGCTAAAACGAGATAAGACTAGGATAAGAGTGGGAATATCAAAATGCTAAATTGTTAACGCTAATCCAAATAGAGCAGTAATGAGTCACCAAAAAAGAGAATCACCGTAAAAGATCCTCATGGTGAAGGGGGTGAAAAGGGTGAAAAGGCTACCAGATGGGCACCCACCACCGACCAAATTAACAAGATCAGCAAAAGGAAAGGGAGGCAAGGGGTACCGAAAAAGCAACGGAAGGCTTCCGAACAGAGAGAACTGGGCAACAAATTTCTCACAAAAGCCCTGCCAAAAAGCAACAAGGGGAATCAAAAGGCGACCAAGGGCTTCCCATTCAAAGGGGCCTTGGCTGCCAATTGACAACCTGGAAGGACCCTAGTCACAGTCCACCGGATCATCGTAGGAACGCATTTCCCTCTTCTTCTTCTTGTCCACGGCATCCGGATCGGGCTGGTGGTCTTCCTTTCCACAATATTGCAACATCCATTTCAGCAATTGTTGTTCTGCATCTTTGGCATTGGGCTTGGCACGGGATTCCTGAACCTCAAGCTTGAGGGCATTGTAGCGCCTTCGGCCTGCATTGGACCAACCTCCATACTTGGCATTGCCCACCTTGGAGTTTGAGTACTTGGTAGCAACTTTTTTTGTCTCCGAGTCCTGTGCTGCTCTTGGGGGCAGTTCATTTCTTTCTGCCACAGTCATAGTTCCCAGGCTGGATAGCAGAGGTTCCATCTGGGTTAGGAGTTCTCGTAGATGTGGAGGGTCATTGCCTCAGTTCCGGGAGGAACACACAGATTTCACTTCCACTTGGCCACACTAATCAACTGGTTGTGGCGGATTGACTCCCTAAAACAGCTGGATGCACCAGCAACACATTGCAAAAGCTTCTCCGTGTGAAGGGAAGAATGCAGCTTGATTTCCTCACGCGCTGCCTTCTCTTGTGCACTGGCATCTAGGGCAAGGTCTTCAAGAGGAACCTCCCGCATTACCACAGCTTTGAGCTGTCCCGGAGTTGGCATCTTGTCGAGTCCATGTTCAGCACAAAAGTCCTCGGTCTTGATGTACATCTGGTTCCCGACGAAGTTGCGTTGCTCGTTCATGATTGCCGTGATAACATCTTTCCAATGGGCAAACCATGCGGCGCGCCTTTCCTTGATCACTGTAAGAAAGAGAAGAACAACGGTTCCAGATGGGTCAGGTGCACTGGGCAATTAGACAACCAAAAGGTTCCCGATCGAGTAGCGAAAACTTACCCTTGTCCTTCTAACGGTCGCCGGTCAACAAGAAGGCCTTCTTGGCCAGTCGATCCAGTACAAGATAGACAATGGCTTCATCCGATTACTCGCTGCTAAACTTCCTCTCAATCCAGGTATTCTTCTTGAAACAGCCGAAAGCTAGGATATAATCATTACTCCCCATGGTGTTGTTGCCAAGGGCCTCATCCAGATCGAAGTTGTCAGGTTCCCATTCCTCATCAGGCTCCTCCTTGCCGGCTTCCCATCTTTCTTTCTTTTTCTCCTCTCGTACAAAGCTAATGTAGTAAGTGACCTTCTCACTATCTTTCAGAACCTCCACATGCTTGTCATGGACATCTTTGTCTCTACCAATCATACGAGACTTCATCTGACGTTTGCTCGACCGGGGAGTTACCGCTTTCTTCTTTGATCCTACTTTTCCACTCATTGTTGGACTATCAAGATGGAATGTGCGACGCTTTTCCTTCCCCAGGAATGCAATACATTGCTTGGATATTGGTTTGCCAGGTGCTCGTGGAGACTCCAGTGGTGGTGGCCTGTTGGATTTTTTTGCCTTTTGCCGTCCGGATCAGGATCGTTCGGTACGGGATTTGGTAGTGTGGCCTTGGCGTTTGGTAGCTTGCCCGTTGTTGTTGCGACTGCTGCTGCCGGATTGGGATGAGTGCGAACTTGCTGATTGGGAGCTTTAGGATGACGAAGCAGTACACACAGAGACAGATGAGGACTTCGACTTCTTTTTCTTTGGCTGGCTGGTCCGGTGTGATCTTGATAGTTCTGCTTGTCGCTCTCGTCTGCACTGTAGAAATCTTCTTCTTCACGGTTGCCACCACGGTGCTCTTGCTAGCCGTAGCCTCCCTGGTCGTCTTCAAAGTAACTCCCTTCTTCGTCCTCAAAATACTCGTCTTCGTGTTGCTCTTCTTCAGATGCTGTTTCGCTTCCACAGGCTGATGAACGGCGCCAAAAATCCCATAGAGTAGCCACACAGGGCCGAATGATGAAAGAAAGGAGTTAACAACAGTGAAAGAGCAGCAGAGTGAGATGCAGAGGTTACCCTATTCACTGGCAGGAGATCGATTTTATGAAGAAAACTGAAGAGCACCGACTCCAAACTGCAGTCAACTCCTTCAGTTGCGACCGATCGATCCTCATCTATTTCGTGGGGCTCCACGGTTGGGCCATACTTAACCGGACACCAGTAGCTCTTACTTAGTACGATTTCTACGAGACTGCGCATCCTTGTGTATGGAGCTGATATCAAAAGTAGTCACACAAGAACGGCTGGTGGCAATCTAACGCATTCAGTCAATGGGAATCGCGTGCTAGTACACGTGTGTCTGTACGTACCCTCCTCCATACCCATTCTGCTGTGAAAAGCTTCTCTACACTCCTTAGGTTGCGGTTTAGGCATGTATGTGGTTTTTTCCACTAATGTAGGCATTCCCATAGGATGCTGTGGATGTTTTGTTGCCATGGAGCTCCTCTCGAGTTGGCATTTGTTCACCAACATCTCTTGCTCGAAGCCCCTTGCGCGCCATCTGAGATGGTTTTTTGTTCAATTTG